GGCAAAAAAAAAAAAAAAAGGTAAATTTATGTCATGTATACTTAACCACAAACACACACACACACAAAGTACAAATCTTCTCCTGACATCACTGGGTGGGGGGCCGGCAGTGAACTCAGTGATGGGCACTGGGGTGGGGGCAGAAGCTGCTGCATTGCCAGCCAGGGCAGTGACAGCTTAGGTGGGAGGGAGCCCAGGTGAGGACATCCAGGCCTCCTGGCTCTGAGCCTGCCCCCCCCACTCCAGGAGCTGGGGGCCCCTCCTTGGTCTCCGATAGGCCCAGGGTCAGCTTGCCAGGCTCTCCTCACGGCTCTGCTGCAGTGTCCCTCCCACAGCAGCCCCACCCCCACTCCTCCCGTCCTAGTCCCACATCACACGTGAGAGCTGCCCACCCCGGAGCCAGAAGCCCCTCTCACCCTCCAACGCCATCAGGCTAGGACAACATTTGAGATCAATGCTGAGACGGAGTCCCAGCCCTGGAGCTGTCAGAGGCAGGTCGTGGCAGGATGTAGGCTCCCCTCCCCGTCCCTTCCATTCCTTCTCACTCCCAGGAGAACATGGGTGACCTCAGGGCTTGGCTGAATCCGTGAGTAAGAACCAAGGCAGCCATGGACTCAGTGGCCATCAGGCCGCGTGTCCTCACTTGTCAGGAGGAAGGAGTGCCACTCTCAGCGCAGGAGGCGACAGTGCCAGTGATCGATCCACCTGTTGCCTCAGCCCCACTCCCGCCCTTCCTGGGGGCTCTGCAGTGGCTGTGGGTCCAGTTCTGTCAGCAGAGGGCGCCGGAGGGACGCTGCAGGGGGAGAGGCTTCTCTCTCCCAGGCTCTGGGTGCGGCTTCCCCAGCAACAAGCGCCCCAGACAGCGGCCAGCGCAAGCAGATCGGGCAGACTTCCAGCAAGTGCCCAGAGAGCTCCCGGCCGCCCGGTATGCCACGGCTGTGTCCCCAGCAAGGTCTGGGTCTCAGCCCAAGGATGAAGGACAGGATCTGCCTCGGGCACCCTGATCCCACAACAGTTTATATTTCCACGAGTTAGACATTCCCTGCTCGAATCACTGCTCCGGGGTTCTGTCCCCTGGCTGGACCCCGACTCACACAGCATGCTCTGTCGGGGGCTGTTCAGGGCCAACTCCCGGCCCCCAGCATGGCCCTGCTGCCCACTCCCCTGCAGGAAGGGGACACTGGGCACCCCTTGTTTCCCATTCCCCAGCCTGGAATGAGTTACTTCAGCCACACATCAGGTAGCACGGAATCCCAGAAGCCAGTTGAAATGTTCCAGATCTTGAGATGATGTAAACTTCTTAGGCAGTCGCACCAGTGGCTCATCTGTGGTTGAGGGTCACATCCCAGCCCCATTCTCCATGTGGATAAATGTCGGTTGATTCCCACCAGGGTGCCGGGGAATGGAGGGGCGCCGTCCAGAGCCGGGGGTCATGGGGAGGAGAGGAAACCAGACAGTGTGTGGCCCCTCCCTGGCCTCGGACTCCTGCCTCCTCCAGCTGGTCCCCCAGCTTCCCTGACCCACCCCCCGCACTCTGCCCTCACCACCCAGACTGCTCACTGGCCACAGGCTCCAGCCCCACGAGCCAGGTCTCTCTCCCTGTCACTGTTCTGTTGCCACCTGATCCCCAGTCAGAGGTGCAGGGCTGTGCTGTACCCACGTCACTCCCCCATCCTGCCCACATGGCCACCTTCAGCGGCTCAGTCTTAGCATCTCTGCACATCGACTCAGGGTCCCTGCCCACACTAGGTGGCCACTGTGGGAGAGGGCACGGCAGGGACCGGGCAGTGTGTCCCAGGGCCTGGCCTCTGCCCCCGACCCCGCACATGGAGCCCAAACAGGCACTGAGGATGGCGTGTTCCCAAGGCCAAGCAGGATAGCAGACGCAGCACGAGGGGGTTACCTGTACGCATTTTTGGAAACAGGGCGAGGATCGAACTTAAAGAAGATGATGCACATGGGTCCCCAAGGGGTGGCTTGGCTCACACGGGTAACGAGGTCTGTGGGAGAAGGAAAAATGAGTTGAGTAAATGGCAGACGACAGAACTGCCTCCCAAACCTGCAAAGCTCCCTTGCCCAAATGGAACGGGCTCACGACACCCAGACCCTCGCTGGACGAGAAGACCACATGCCGGCTGCCCTGACACTCGCCCATCCCTGTTAACACGCTCCTGGGCACTGGTCAGACGTTCCCCTGATGCCTGTGACCTCGTTGGCCCTGGATTGTTGGCAATTGCTTCTGGTTCTGGGGTCTGAAACGGAACACTTCCCACCTTGGGATTCACAGGAGGATGTTCCCACCACACCGACCCCGGCTTCAAAGCCATGCCAGCATCGCGTGGTGGGTGGGCGGGCGTGGTGGCTCTGGCCACCATGCAAAGAGAAGCCAAGGAGGGGCCAGAGCCCAAGGCCAGCACCACAGACACAACCGTGGCTCAGGGCCATGCAGTAGCTGCCCAGCGCACAAGGCCTTCGGGCATCCCACCCTCCTCTCACTCGTGCTCACTGGTCTGGCTGGCGCGGGTGGCAGGGTCAGGGTTCACCCCACTATTTTCCCTGTCAGCCCCCACGGGCCCTGGAGGGACCCCCAGGATTCAGCCCTGTGTTCCTCCAGGCACAGATGTGGCGATAGCCTCAGAGGACCAACTTTTGTGGCTGTGCAGCTGAGGCACTGCCACGGTAACAAGCACCATCTGCAGTAGCCCAGGGTGCTAGGGGACATGCACCATGTGAGATGGGCTGCCAGCCGCTGCCCCCCCACCAGGGACGCTGGGCCACATGCAGTGCTGACGCCGAACGGCCCTGTGCAGAAGGGTTCCCCAAGGTGATGGGAACAGGCTGGGCTCCCGCCAGGGCGGCCTGGTAGTGTCCACTGGTGGCCATCATCCCAGGAGTGCCTGATGATCCCAATACTGGTAGGCAGACTGTTGGGACCGACCTCCCTGGTAAAAGCAACTCCAAACGCTTGAAAGAACGTGAAAAATCTTAAAAGCAACCAAGAGCTGACAAGGTGGTGCAGGATTTAGCCAACATCTCAGAGAACACAGGAACCCAGAGAGGAAAGAGAGCAGAGTACAGCAGCAGCTCCTGCCCCAGGGCACTGGCCCATGGGGCAAACCGGGCTCTGGTGGCCTCAGGGGTGAGGGAGACAGAAGACACGGCCCAGGGCTGCCCCAGGACAGGGACCTAGGGTGGGGGGGTTGTATCCACAGCCACACCAGGGCCGCAGGGGAGGCGCACAGAAGTGGGGGTGGTCCATGAGAAGCTCCATGTGCAGAGCTAGGCCACACCGGGGGTCCAGGGACTTGGTCTGATGGGTGCCTGCACTGGCAGTGCCCCTGGGCACCAGGCAAACCAAAGTTTTCCTCTTCATCACAGACTTCCGAGAAGTCTCACAAATAATTTCAAGAACAAAAAGCAGTACAATAGAAAGAACCACATAAAACAAAGCACCACAGCAAGAACCAGCAGTAGTCCCCACATGTCCCATAAACGAGCCACTGAGGGCAGAAGAAAGGAGTTCAGGAATATCTGCAGGGAAAGGACATGATAAAGAGTAAACGGGGGGTCCCCACCCCAGCGCCAGAAAGACCCTTTAGAAACAGAAGCCCCAGTAAGTACGACTTAAAACTTGGCAGAGAACGTTGGAGCAGATTAGGCCCAGAGAATGAGAACCACCCAGAGTGCAGTGCGGGGTGATGTGAAGCACCCCGGTCGTCACAGGGCCGGGTCAGCCCACCTGTCCCGTGTAGCTGGCGGGGCTCCCAGCACCTGCCACGTGACCGGAGTCCAGCACAGAAGACACAGGTCCCCCACCCTGAGGGGGCTTGTCTCTCCCAGACACAAGGATGCTCCAGGCAAGGTGTCATCTGTGGCAACCAGGCTGGCTGAGGTCAATGGGAGAAGCCCTGCTGAGATCCCACCGACCCCGGCCCCTCCAGGACAGAGGGCTGCCTCACCAGGAACATACTACTCTGGGCCGTCAAAGGAGGCCAGCATGCCTGCCATCTCCCCCACGCCCAGCCCAGCCTGCATGACCGGCACTGGGTGAGGTTGCCGGCCACCACTGCTCACAGGCCAGATGCAGAGCCCCCCAACTCGGCTGCAGCACCCTGCCACCCTAGCTGGCCCAGGTGGGTGGCAGACAAGCCCTCCAGAAGGTGGTGGCAAGAAGGGCTCCGTGGTCAGAGGAAGGCTGCCGAGAGGTCTCCGGGCAGCTTGCTGCCAGAGTGGGCGCGGAACCCAGGGCTGCGGCCTCAGTGAAGAGTGAAGACGCGGTCATTGGGAGGGAAGGACCAGAGGAAAGCCAGCCCCTGGGGAGGAGACCATCAGGAACTGCCTTTCTCTCCAATCCCTCACCCCCCACTCGAGCCAGGCCCGCTGCCAACTGGCCCCTCCCCTTCCCGCTTCACTCCCACCACCCCCAGCACCCTCCTTCGCAGGTCCTGTGGGTGCAGAGCCCTTCTCCCATCCTGCCCCCACCCAGGCCGAGCTCCAACACCCTCTTCGGGGCCTGGCGAGTCCTCCCTGACACCCCTGTGACTTTCGGGGCTCCCAGAGCAAGCCCTGGACACACCACTGCCGTCCCACCACTGCACTGCAGCAGGGCACTAACTGGGGCATCCTGCCCGGAGCGCTCCACTGCTGGGAAACGCTCCCCTCCGCTCCCAAGGCTTCCAAGGCCATGGAGTGGGGAGGTGAGGTGGGGGGAGCAGTTCAACAGGTCCCACTGCTCCAGGTAAACTCAGCGCTCCTCCTCACCAGGTGACACCTAAGCCTGTCAGGAGGAAGTCACCCTGAAGAGCACCTGGGCTGGCAGGTGCCGAGGAAGGGGGGTCAACCGGGGCAGAAGCGCGCCAGCTTTCTAACGCCATCCCCGCCCCGCCCTTCTCCACCTGGAGCCCGGGGTGTCCACACACTGTCAGAGCTCTGTGGCTGCTGGGGCCGCCATGAGGGCCGGGTGGCCAGAGGCAGAGGCAGAGCCACAGGTGGGCAGGAAGGTCCTGGGGCCTGACGAGGAGCTTCACCCAAGGGCCTCAGCGACCACAGGGTGGACGCCACCTGGAGGTGGGCAAAGCCTGCGGCTTCAAGCGATACAGGAAGCAGTGCTGGCCCAACGGGTGCGGAGGCCGCTAAGGTAACGCGCACACCCTGCCAGGTGTGCGGATGGCAGTCGGATGCCACACGCCTGCCCTCTGCAGGTGAGGGGGCTCCCTCCCTCCCCCTCCGTCCCTCCCCCTCGCTTGGCCCCATGGCAAGCAGGATGGCAGTGGGGGACCCAGGCCAGGCGAGCAGGGCCCCCACCCGATGGGGCAGGTGACACACTGACCTGGAGGAGGCCAGGCCCCAGTGCCACGGGGCAGGGGAGGGACAGATGGGGACCCCCTTCCCAGGTCGGGCACATCCTGGGCAGGCTCCTCTCTCACCAAGAGTTCAGGTGGTGCCAGAGGCCACACAGGGGCTCTGGGGGATGGGGGTGCCTGCTGGCTGCACTCAGGGTGATAGTGTGGGCACACGTGGGGTCTCCTGACCCCTGTACATGCTCTCAGGATGTCCCAGGCATTGGACCTGCCCATCTGCACTCCCTGGCACACAAATGAGCTGCTCCAGCCATGTCATGGAAATGCTCGGAAGCCAGCGTGCCCCTGAGCATCCCTGCTGACCCTCCCCAGGTGCCAGCAGCCCCCAGGAAAGCTCATAGTGGGGCAACCGGCTCTGTCCTGGCCACAGTCCTGGAATCACTGGGCCCATGTGTATCTCACTGGGGGGCTGCCTTACAACTGCCTTGCATACAGGGGTGCAGCCAGGCCTCAGACAGGCCCCCGCGGAAGGAAGACCCCAGACGGTGGCCTGGGCTGAGGGGAAGCCTCATGGGCAGCAGTCTGAGGGGGCCTCCTGGGACCGGAGCACGCAGGCTGTGAGATGGCTGAACATCCTGACAAATGCCCGGGGTGCCCACGTGGCGTGGCAGTGGGTCCCTGGGCCTGGTGGCAGAGAGGAGCCATCTTTGTCACCACTAGGGTTGGGGGGCATGTCATTTTGTGCTCACTGCAAGGCCCCGAAGGAAGGCCCCTGCCCATGGCTCCACATACTTCACAGATGTATGCTCCATCACGTGCACAGGACCCCGCCACCCTGTCTTCTTGCCACCTGGCTGTGCAGTTCGCCCACGCCCAGGGTAGCGGCATCCCCCACCTGCCTGCTGCTGCCCGGGGCACGTGTGCCTTCTATCCACTCTTGCCATCCAGCTTCCACCCATGCAGAGCAACACAGCGGGGCCCGGCACGCACGTTCTACAAACAGGCTGAGGACCTTCCCAACAGGTGCCTTCCTGTCTCCCAGGCAGACACCCAGGAGGCGGAATCACTGAGCAGGGGGTGACGCTCTTAGATGAGCATGCATGGCCGACACCCTCCAATGTCTGGAGCAGGGGCATCCAGCACGAGGAGACCCGCCACTGCTCCCCCCACCCTCACTGCAGTGGCAGGAGATGCTCAGGCGGTCTGCTGGCAACCCCCAGCAGCCACTGGCACACCGTGCCAGGATCCAGGGCCTCTGTCCCACAGTGCGGTGGCAGTGGGGTGGGGTGGCCCATCCCTCTGCCTGTGCTGCCTCCATTGGAACCCACCTGTCCTTCCACAGCAAGTCCCCCCACTTGTACTGCATGGCTCTTGCCCTCCTCATCCCAAAGCAAGAGCCCCTTTCTCTTGATTTCCATGCGTGGTTGCGTTTGGGCTTTGTTCTAGGATGTATCCAGGGTCTGCCTATGTGGGAGGTGTGAGCCACAGACCCCCATGCTTCCCAGCAGACGGGCATGCTGTCTGCCACCACCTGGGCCACGCCCTGGACACCCCACCACTCAGCCCCTCAGCCCCTGAGCTTCAGCACACGCTGTGGTATCTGGAAGGTGAGTCTCCCTCTTGGCTTTTCACAGAAGCTTCTAAAACTCTGACTGATCA